TTCGGAAGCCAAACACAGGCCTCGGTTAAAAAGCGGAAGCCGTCAGCAGCGTGAGCAGACGACAGAGGCACATGGCGCAGGGTGGCGGTGGAGGCAGCAGTATTCGGAAGCCATACACAGGCCTAGGTTAAAAAGCGGAAGCCGTCAGCAGCGTGAGCAGACGACAGAGACACATGGCGCAGGGTGGCGGTGGATGCAGCAGTATTCGGAAGCCAAACACAGGCCTCGGTTAAAAAGCGGAAGCCGTCAGCAGCGTGAGCAGGCGACAGAGGCACATGGCGCAGGGTGGCGGTGGAGGCAGCAGCAATGGAAGGCCATACAGCACCCTATCACAAATGGAACCCACCAACAGTGTAAGGAGACCTGAAAGTGGCACATGGCGCAGGGTGGCGGTGGAGGCAGCAGTATTCGGAAGACATACACAGGACTAGTTTAAAAAGCGGAAGCCGTCAGCAGCGTGAGCAGACGACAGAGGCACATGGCGCAGGGTGGCGGTGGATGCAGCAGTATTCGGAAGCCAAACACAGGCCTCGGTTAAAAAGCGGAAGCCGTCAGCAGCGTGAGCAGACGACAGGCACATGGCGCAGGGTGGCGGTGGAGGGCAGCAGCAATGGGAGGCCATACAGCACCCTATGACAAAATGGAACCCACCAGCAGTGTGAGGAGACCTGAAAGTGGCACATGGCAGAGTGTGGCGGTGGAGACAGCAGCAATGGGAGGCCGTACAGGGACCCATGACACACTCTGGACCGGGCAGCAGCATGAGGAGGCGGGGGGCGGTACAGGGGCCCATGACAGATTACGGGCCTGGCAGCAGCATGAGGAGTCGGTACGGGGGCCCATGGCAGATTACGGGCCTGGCAGCAGCATGAGGAGGCGGTACAGGGGCCCATGGCAGAGTGGCGGAGCGTAAGCAGCTAAAATTGAAGGCCATACAGAGGCCTATGTTAAAAAGTCCCCCCAGCAGCAGCGTGGGGAGACGACTAATAGTCGTCTCCCCACGCTGCTGCTGGGGGGACTTTTTAAACATAGGCCTCTGTATGGCCTTCAATTTAAGCTGCTTTCGCTTCGCCACTCTGCCATGGGCCCCTGTACCGCCTCCTCTTGCTGCTGCCAGGTCCAGAGTGTGTCATGGGTCCCTGTACGGCCTCCCATTGCTGCTGACTTCATCGCCAGACTCTGCCATGTGCCACTTTCAGGTCTCCTTACACTGTTGGTGGGTTCCATTTTGTGATAGGGTGCTGTATGGCCTTCCATTGCTGCTGCCTCCACCGCCACCCTGCGCCATGTGCCTCTGTCATCTGCTCATGCTGCTGACGGCTTCCGCTTTTTAACCGAGGCCTGTGTTTGGCTTCCGAATACTTTCCTACTCGGCGGTGTGGCAATTTTTCGTCAAGCCGCCCGAGGAAGTAAACGTAGCCGTATGTTGACTATGTGGCCAGAAAGTCAAGCGTGGCCAGGGGGCCCATGTTTGGGACTACAGCGTTGCGTCAGCATATACAGCGTCGCCATTTGGTGGCCTGGGAAAAACCGTGATAAAGATACGGCGGTTCTGCCTGCCCCAGCCCCCCGCTCCATCACCCGCTCCATTACTTGCTCCGTCACCCGATGTCAATCGCCCTCTATCAGCCAGTCAAGGCTCCAACACCTCTGCTGAGGGGAGTTGTCGCTCGTTGGCATCTTCCGCTCGTTCAGATACTCCTCTTCACGGATTCCGTCAGCAGTCTTTCTTGGAATCCGTTTCCAAGAGACAACAGTTTGCGAGCACGCACCCGGCGGTGCAAAAGCTGAACGTCCTCCTGTCCAAGTTGCTGGTGCTGCAGTCCCTCCCTTTCCAAGTGGTGGACTCAGCACCTTTCCGAGAAATGATGGCTTGTGCCGCGCCGCGGTGGAGAGTGCCAAGCCGGCATTTCTTCGCCAAAAAGGCAGTGCCAGTGGCTGCGACTAGTGCTGCCTCGACCCCTTCCTCTGCTGCCACGTCTGCTCGCTCCTGAAACATTGCCTCCTCTGCCACTCCTCTGCGTGTTGTCTGACATACTCTTTAATTCAATAAGCACCCCAAACATAAAACAGGATTTAACTCTTTGAACGTACAATAGTGGTTGTGAAGCAGAAAGTAACGATTCTGTGTCCCTGAGTAACAATTCTGTGTCCCTGAGTAACGATTCTGTGTCCCTGAGTAACGATTCTGTGTCCCTGAGTAACAATTCTGTGTCCCTGAATAACGATTCTGTGTCCCTCAGTAACGATTCTGTGTCCCTGAGTAACAATTCTGTGTCCCTGAGTAACAATTCTGTGTCCCTGAGTAACGATTCTGTGTCCCTGAGTAACGATTCTGTGTCCCTGAGTAACAATTCTGTGTCCCTGAGTAACAATTCTGTGTCTGTCTCTGAGTAACGATTCTGTGTCCCTGAGTAACAATTCTGTGTCCCTGAGTAACAATTCTGTGTCCCTGAGTAACGATTCTGTGTCCCTCAGTAACAATTCTGTGTCCCTGAGTAACAATTCTGTGTCCCTGAGTAACAATTCTGTGTCCCTGAGTAACGATTCTGTGTCCCTGAGTAACAATTCTGTGTCCCTGAGTAACGATTCTGTGTCCCTGAGTAACAATTCTGTGTCTGTCCCTGAGTAACAATTCTGTGTCCCTGAGTAACAATTCTGTGTCCCTGAGTAACGATTCTGTGTCCCTGAGTAACAATTCTGTGTCCCTGAGTAACGATTCTGTGTCCCTGAGTAACAATTCTGTGTCCCTGAGTAACAATTCTGTGTCCCTGAGTAACAATGTGTCCCTCAGTAACGATTCTGTGTCCCTGAGTAACAATTCTGTGTCCCTGAGTAACAATTCTGTGTCCCTGAGTAACAATTCTGTGTCCCTCAGTAACGATTCTGTGTCCCTGAGTAACAATTCTGTGTCTGTCCCTGAGTAACGATTCTGTGTCCCTGAGTAACAATTCTGTGTCCCTGAGTAACGATTCTGTGTCCCTGAGTAACGATTCTGTGTCCCTGAGTAACAATTCTGTGTCCCTGAGTAACGATTCTGTGTCCCTGAGTAACAATTCTGTGTCTGTCCCTGAGTAACGATTCTGTGTCCCTGAGTAACAATTCTGTGTCCCTGAGTAACAATTCTGTGTCCCTGAGTAACGATTCTGTGTCCCTGAGTAACGATTCTGTGTCCCTGAGTAACGATTCTGTGGCCCTAAAGTCTCTGTGGCCCTAACTCTGTCCCTAATACAGACAGGTCTGTCTCTCTTGAATGACCGGAGGCTAATGGAGAATTCTAAGATGGCCGCGATTTATAGCTCCACCTTTACACAGTGCTGGCTGGCTGGCTGCTGATTGGCTAATGCGATCACATGTCATGAATGAATGCATTATGGGTCAGCGCGCCTTGTCTGCGCGCCTTCCCAGAGATCCCCGCTCCGTCGCCACACATGTCGCCGCCATTTTTGGGAAAATTCGATTCGTGCATCCGAAGTTTGCTAATTTTCGGATTCGGGCGCGAATCGAATTTTTCCTAATCTTCGAAACGAATTCCACTTCGTCATGTTCGATTCGCTCATCTCTAATAACAATACATACAATGCAAGCGTCGTCAGGCAGGCCGGGTCAATAACAAACGGGCAGGTAGGAACAGGAGGAGAAGGCAGAGAGTAGTCAGGTCACGAGCCGGGTACAGCAACTAACAGGCAGGTAGGTACAGGGGGGTCAGGCAGAGAATGGTCGGGGTCACAAGCCAGGGATCAGAACAGGAGAAGTCAGCAGAGGTCCAGATCAAGCAGAGTCAGCAACAAGACAGGAACAGGAACAGGATGCAGGATGCAGGAACAAGATACAGGGCCCAGGAAAAAACACACACACCAAGGCAGAGTCTGCAGGTCTGGCCATCCCTTAGGCTACGTTCACACTAGCCTTGTGTGCAGGCGGCAGAGAGGCGTTTGAGAAGCGTTTTTACCGCTTCCCAAACGCCTCTGCCAATTCTGCACATTACAGCACATGGTGCTGTTCTAACGGGAGCGTTTGCGTCGCGTCGCGGCAAAACGGACGCCTCTGGTCGAGTCAGGAGGCTTTGAAGCCTCCTATTCTCGTCTATGGTGCCGCTCCACAAACGCCCGGCCGGCGTTTGCGGTGCGATTGCGACGCGGTCGCGGGGCGTTTGCGGAGCGGTAACACCACTCAAACTGCATTAAAGGCGTTTGTGGGGCGTTATTAACGCTCGGCAAACGCTCCGCAAACGCCGGACCAACGCTTGCCAAATGCTATAGGGGAGTTTGGCAAGCGTTGGCAAAACAGCCTAGTGTGAACGAGCCCTTAAATACACCTGCATAAGCAGTTTCAGGTGTTTGGCTGGCTGCAGGGTTGAGTCTCTGATTGCTGGGAGCACCCGCTGGCCAGATCTGGTACTGCAGCCCATAAGGCAGGTGAGTCCCACCATTGCTGGCCAGTCCATTCCTGACAGTACCCCCCCCTCAAGGAGCGGCCTCAGGACGCTCCAAACAGTCCTAGCTGGGCAAAATGTTCCACCGCCCGGGTCTGGTAACTGTCGGGATATCAAAGACTGGCACACCGGGCAGGACTCCGGGCAGCGGCACATCGGGCAGGACTCCGGGCAGCGGCACATCGGGCAGGACTCCGGGCAGAGGCACATCGGGCAGGACTCCGGGCAGAGGCACATCGGGCTGGACTCCGGGCAGAGGCACATCGGGCAGAGGCACATCGGGCAGCGGCACATCGGGCAGAGGCACATCGAGCAGCGGCACATCGGGCAGCAGCACATCGGGCTGGACTCCGGACAGAGGCACATCGGGCTGGACTCGGGGCAGAGGCACATCGGGCCGGACTCCGGGCAGAGGCACATCGGGCTGGACTCCGAATCACCAGGTGGAGCAGCGGGCCCTGGGCCACCAGGCAGAGCGGCGGGCGCCGGGCCCCCAGGCGGAGCGGCGGGCGCCGGGCCCCCAGGCGGGGCGGCGGGCGCCGGGCCCCCAGGCGGGGCAACGGGCGCCGGGCCCCCAGGAGGGGCGACAGGCATCGGGCCCCCAGGCGGGGCGACAGGCATCGGGCCCCCAGGTGGGGCGGCGGGCGCCGGACTCCCAGGCGGAGCACCAGGTCTCGGGCCCCCAGGCGGAGTGACAGGTCTCGGGCCCCCAGGCGGAGCGGCGGGCGCCGGACCCCCAGGCGGAGCGACAGGTCTCGGGCGCCCAGGCGGAGCGGCGGGTGCCGGACCCCCAGGCGGAGCGACAGGTCTCGGGCCCCCAGTCAGAGCGGCGGGCGCCGGACCCCCAGGCAGAGCGACAGGTCTTGGGCCCCCAGGCGAAGCGGCGGGCGCCGGACCTCCAGACGGAGCGACATGTCTCGGGCCCCCAGGCGGAGCGACAGGCACCGAGTCACCAGGCACGATAGTGGGCTCCGAGTCAACTGGCATGACCGCGGGCACTGGGTCAGACATTGGATCGTCTGGCAGGACAGCGGGCATTGGGTCACCAGGCATCAGGTCATTTGGCTCGACAGCGGGCACCGAGTCATCTGGCAAGGCAGTGGGCACCGAGTCACCAGGCACGACAGTGGGCTCTGAGTCAATTGGCATGACCGCGGGAACTGGGTCAGACATTGGATCGTCTGGCCCGACAGCGGGCATCGGGTCACCAGGCATGACAGCGGGCACTGGGTCATCAGGCATGGGGTTGTCTGGCTCGACAGCGGGCATCGGGTCACCAGGTATGACAGTGGGCACTGGGTCACCAGGCATCAGGTCATTTGGCTCACCAGCGGGCACCGCGTCATCTGGCATCGAGTCACCAGGCACGACAGTGGGCTCCGAGTCGTCTGGCAAGACTGCGGGTCAACTGGCGGAACAGCGGGCATCGAGTCACCTGGTAAGACTGCGGGCACCGAGTCGTCTGGCAAGATCGCGGGCTCCGAGTCGTCTGGCAAGACTGCGGGCTCCGAGTCGTCTGGCAAGACTGCGGGCACTGAGTGGTCTGGCAAGACTGCGGGCACCGAGTCGCCTGGCAAGACTGCGGGCACTGAGTCAACTGGCGGAATAGCGGGCATCGAGTCACCTGGCAAGACTGCGGGCTCCGAGTCGTCTGGCAAGACTGCGGGCTCCGAGTCAACTGGTGGAACAGCGGGCTTCGAGTCGTCTGGCAAGACTGCGGGCACCGAGTCGCCTGGCAAGACTGCGGGCACCGAGTCAACTGGCGGAATAGCGGGCATCAAGTCACCTGGTAAGACTGCGGGCACCGAGTCGTCTGGCAAGATCGCGGGCTCCGAGTCGTCTGGCAAGAGAGGCTCCGAGCGGGCTCCGAGTCGTCTGGCAAGACTGCGGGCACCGAGTCGTCTGGCAAGACTGCGGGCACCAAGTCAACTGGCAGAACAGCGGGCATCGACTGCGGTCACCTGGCATGATAGGATCATCAGGATCATGCATCAGTTCATCAGGCCGGATCAGTTCATCAGGCTGGGTACAGACATCAGGCTGGATCAGTTCATCAGGCCGGATCAGTTCATCAGGCTGGGTACAGACATCAGGCTGGATCAGTTCATCGGGCTGGGTACAGACATCAGGCTGGATCAGTTCATCAGGCTGGGTACAGACATCAGGCTGGGTACAGACATCAGGCTGAATTGTGGGCGCCGAGGCACCAGGCTGAACCACGGAAGGCAGGTTCTCAGACGGCAGGCTCACCGGTTTGGATACTGGCAGGATGGTACTGGTTGGAAAGAATTTTCGCTTTTTTCTGGTTTTAACTACTGGAGCACTGCAAGTAAACGCAGGTCTGCAAACTAATGGAGCAGCTGGAGACAGAGAAGAGCTGGAGGATGGAACAGGGGAGGGAGCAGTTGCTACAGAGGACTTCTTTACAGGGCTAAAGGCAGGATAGGTGCAGCGAGTGGGAACAGGGTACTGACATGCGGTAGATAGCCAAGTATACTGGGCTGTAACTGGAGGTGCTGTTGGGAATGCAGGAATAGAGCTTTGAGGAAATAGATTAGAAGCAGGACTGGGTTTTTGTAAGCTGACTGAGGCTGGGTGCAACAAGTCTGACCATGTCTGCAGTATGGGTTGAACAAAGCTGAGCTTACACAAAGCCTGTCTGACCAAAGACTGCACTGCGTTTATACAATCCCTTAATACCTGTGGTGAACATGCAGAATAACGCTCCAGAAAGTAATCCACATCATCCTCTAATAACCATACCAGGGACTCTACCTGGTCTGCACTAAATGGTGGCAAAAATTCATCCCTGCATTCGGGGGTACCAGATGAAACCAACTCAGCACAAACCTGAATCAATGGCTGCACCTCAGAGAATTCTGTGCCCTGATCTACTAGAACATGAGCGATCCGTATACATTCTAGCAGTTCATCCCGGGGATACTCCTTCAGAGTTTGATAAGCATACTCTCTGTCATCAAACACTAGCAGAGATAAATACACAACCTCATCAAGATCCATCCTTCCCAGCAACAAGCCAAGATGGCTTCCCTGTGCAGCCACTTCTGGTCAGGATTGGCCTTGGTGTAATGTCAGGGCTCCAGGGTATGACCAGAGGTATGTGACTGACGCAGGGAAATGCAGGCTTCAGATAAGTTATAAACAATATAATTTATTCAAGACTAACAATACAAACATAAACGCAGTGCAATACTAAAACATAACACAGTGCAAACGAACCAAACCACCCACAGACAACAATGCATACAATGCAAGCGTCGTCAGGCAGGCCGGGTCAATAACAAACGGGCAGGTAGGAACAGGAGGAGCAGGCAGAGAGTAGTTAGGTCACGAGCCGGGTACAGCAACTAACAGGCAGGTAGGTACAGGTGGGTCAGGCAGAGAATGGTCGGGGTCACAAGCCAGGGATCAGAACAGGAGAAGTCAGCAGAGGTCCAGATCAAGCAGGGTCAGCAACAAGACAGGAACAGGAACAGGATGCAGGAACAAGATACAGGGCCCAGGAAAAAACACACACACCAAGGCAGAGTCTGCAGGTCTGGCCATCCCTTAAATACACCTGCATAAGCAGTTTCAGGGGTTTGGCTGGCTGCAGGGTTGAGTCTCTGATTGCTGGGAGCACCCGCTGGCCAGCCCTGGTACTGCAGCCCATAAGGCAGGTGAGTCCCACCATTGCTGGCCAGTCCATTCCTGACAACTTTTCTTTTTTTCTCAAAGTTCGTCAAAGACATGAAAGTCTAAGAAAGATTCGAGCTTCTAAATAAATGAACATTCCTAGCCCTCAACAGCAAGAAAAGAAAACCTGATCACTAATTGCAGAGACTCTTCAGTAGAAACTTTGTCTCCATTAGAAAGACAGGACTTATATGCAATATCAGCAGCAACAGTGAAAAAAGGAAAAAAAGATCCAAACTCCTACTGTCTCATTTTCCACGTCCACTGAAAAAGTCTTGTACTTTCAAGGGAAGAAGTTTCTAAAGACCCAGCCATGCCATTTCTATTCAGATGTTGTGCATCTATAGAGAACTTTTCCAGAGGTTGCAAAGCTACAGTTAATTGAATGTGATAGTGACAGGCTTGTATCGAGAACCATTTAAATAGGACTCCACATCCACTGATTTTACAAACATGTAACCTCCACAAATTAAATCTAAAAATAGCAATCTACATCACAAAAGACATGCAGAGAAAACCAGTGCTAAAATATGTCTGGTTAAAGTTTTTCCTGAAAAAATATAAAATGAAACAAAAAGAACTTATAAAAAAGTGTTTTCTCTAGGTCTAATGAACTGCACTCCTGTGATCCACAGGAGAAATACAGACAAAAGAGCTTTGGCTGTACTTCTCCTTTAATGACTGTATTGACTGTGCCTACTCCCAGGACCGATCTAGTTTGGGTGATTGTTGGTGCTCCTTGTTCCAGTAATAAGCAAAGTCAGCAGCAAGACTGAACCTTCAATAGGTGACCAAGAATCTAGTAACACTAAGATCCTGCACAACTTTCAAATTCATTAGTTCATGCACTGTGCATCTATTGAATTTAAATCTCCATCTATTCCAGGAGATGCTACAGAGATGTTCACAGAGGACCAGCTACAATCTCAGGTTCATTCTGTCATCAGTGAAACTATACCTGACAGCTGCAGAACAGTAATGACCCTTCACGTAAAAAATCTTGATAAGAAATTCAGACTTTGATTCTACATTCCTGCAACAGTCTTGACCTAAGATAGACATTTGTCCATCAAGACTCAAGATGACACAGATGACAGCTCAAGCAACACACCAAGAATTCTGCTATCAGCAAAAGGCCTAAGATGCTCATCAGAGACATCTGCACCTGCCATCATGTAGGTATATTCCCTTATTTGTGGGTGAGAAACAGTGTCTCCTATACTTGTGAAGAAGTTTCTTCAATCATTCAGTGAGACTATTCAACTAACACAAGTGCAGTAGTAAATAGAAGTAAGCAAATAGAAAATATAGACAACACCGTTGCCTAATAAAGGCGCAGTGTTGTTTTAACTGCATCACTGGTGTACCTCGGATAGCTGGTACCCAGGGTAGATACATTTTTATCAAACCCCCACCCACACTTCTTTATAGTGCATATCACAATTGTCTTCAGCAGTAATCTTTAAATTAGGTGAATACTAACGATGGGCAAAGTAAAATTAATAACAACATAGACTGTCTTTATTAGGGGTGCATATAGAATGCAGCAACAACAAAAATAAAATAGAAATTGTCTACACACTGATTAAAATACAATCCAAAGGTTCAAATAGCAGAGCATGTAGAACACCACTGACAAACCTGAGGATAATAATGGCATGCTAAATAAACTTTTAAAACATTGAAGGTTCTAATAGAGGTGTGTGTGTGTGGTGAAACACAAGGATAATTGCATTGTGTTTTGCAAGCAACAGGCCTACAGGGGACTGAATTATATTTCCATGGTCTTCTAAACAGCTTTGACTTTAAAAAAATGGCTATTCTGACAATATACAGGCCACAAATGGGCAATTGTATACAATACATATTCAATGAAATCATTAACATCCACAATGGAATCATTAACATGGGTGTCAAAATAATAAATGGGAAACAGATTTCATATATGACATATATTTCAAGCAGCTTGACTAGATAGGAAGGTATCATAAGGCACACATTCAGGTACCAAGCAAGTATTATGATGAGAAGAACCTAAATCAGAAGCCCTTACAATCTCCTTCATAGTGCTTACTCAGCTTAGCTACAGCATTTGCGCCCATGTCTTAATTTTTTATTTGTGCCACTGCCTCATTCTGTATAGAATTTACTTGTGTATGAGCTGCTTCCCTCTTTGTAAACTACAGGTCACAGCTAGTGATATGCCTACACATTGGTCAGAATTGTATCCTTTCCAATGCTGCATAATCAAAGCAGAGACCATGGTAGCAAAACTATACAAACACACTGTTGGAAATAGACACAAATTATTTCGCCTGATGAGCAGCACAGTACATGTTTGGCAGTGGCCACCGCAGCACCCACTAAGTTTTGGCAGACTGGGCTGACACCCCACCCTTTCCTTTTGAGGTTTGCTACGTAACTGCTTCAGATTTAAACCTAGCAGCATCTGGCATAGTTAGTGAAACCCAAATCACAATTTGCTTTATGTAAAGCGATATAATAACATGAATGTGTCACTTGTTTAGATGG